CTGCACTAGACCTATTCGATATACATTTAAAATTAGGGTGATACATGTAGAAAACTTTTCTGTGAAATGGAACTTCTCATACACATTTAATTGTAATCACACAAACGTGTCTCCATAAGTAAAAAGAGGTAACTTGCCAATCTTTTAACATATGCGATTGGAAAACCTACTTCGTTATATAACGGACTGCGGGCTTTCATAGACACCCTCTCGCCTGAATGAGTCTGTGATGCCCAGGTTTTACAGTACAAGTTTTCACGCCCAGGAGTTTTATCCCGTAATTGGCCTTGTTTCCTTCCACCATGTCTATCTGTTTTCCTAAGCCCGAGGAGGTAGCGTATTTCATTTTCTCTCAGCTGATACGGTTTATGGTCAAAGGATGCATTTTATAATCATAAGAGTTCCCTTATTTCAAACGTGTTTGTAACATAATGTTAAGTGGGCAGCAGGACATAAAATTGTACAGACCGGGTGGGGCAAAAGTAGGCTTACAGTTGTGAGTATGGGAAACACAGTTTTTTCTTTTTTTTTTTTTAAGCAAAAGGGAAGCAAAGTTTATTATGGCAAAAGTAACAAAGCTCGGGGCACGCTAGAGGGGTCCCGAAGAGGGTTGCCCCAGAGTTTATTCCTGTATTATTAGTCGTTAATTATTGCATTATTTTCCATATGAACAGCTGTATAGGCACTTTTGTGCACCCCCCACCCCATTATTTTTATGTGAAAACTCAAAGGAAACAATGCAACAAAATTAGCAAAAATGCGTTGGGGGCCAGAGCGGTGGGAGAACCGATTTGTTTGCTTGGTTTGCCCCTTTGTCCACATTCCAAATGTTTTGTGATTGCTGTTGGATTAAATTAAGAAAACAAATCAACTGAAAATGAAGAGGCGTTGTAAGAACAGAATAATACAAAGCCTATTTAGTTTTATCTTCCAAAAAGTATCTTTTACTGGACTTTTTATGCTCCTAGGAGAAACTCACATTCACTGTCCAAACAGGGGCTACTCAGAAAAATAGAAAAGAAAGCATCTGGATAAAGTCAATGTTAGCACATTAACAATGTTAACATACTAGCTTTGGGGGTTTTATTTGGTTTATTTTGGTACCAAATTACTTTATCTGAAGGGACGGGGCAATGAAAGACATGACATGTGGCTGATTTGGTGCAAGTTACGGGAAAGGGAAAGTAACGCCAACAAGCACATCTGGCCCGGTGACCACGGCGTCACCCAGGGGCCGCGGGCAGCCCGCCCCAGGCTGCGCGCATCCCTGTCTCCTGGGCGCGCTGCCAGAGGTGCCCCGCCAGGCCGGGTTGCCGCGGGACCGCCACCCAGTTCTTGGATGCATTTCGCTGCTCCTCCAGGGAGTGCGTCTCCGTGTCGTCACACAAGGAGGTGGCTTTTGTCAGGGGCAGTTTGTGCGCGTCCAGGAGAGGTCCATATTTTCCCACGCACAGCGCACACTCCGCGCACCAGCCCTCCTCCGGGCGTCGGGGCTGCCATCTTTCTGTTGTTGCTGGGAATCCTCACCAGAGGACATTTTTTCCTTGGATTTTTAGAGAGAGTGGGAGGGAGGGGGAGAAACAGAGAGAGGAGCGTCCATGTGAGAGAGACACAGGGATTGGCCGCCTCCCACCTGTGCCTGGGCCAGGGCCAGGGATGGAGCCAGCACGGGAGGTAGGTGCCCTCGACTGGAATCGCATCTCGAGCCCTCCGTCCGCGGGCCGATGCCCCTGCCTTGACCACTGCGCCCACCCGGCCAGCGGGTCTGGCTTCTGGAGACCCTGCGGGAAGGCTCGCCCTGCGGCAGGGCTGCAGCGTCACCAGTTCTCAGCGCGTTCCCGCTGCTCAGGAGCCTGCGAGGCAATATTTGTCAAAGTTCTTCAAAGCCCCGTCATGGCGGTCAAATAGTCAGACGCGGACAGGCAGGCAGGCAGACAGGCAGACGCGGGAAGCGTGGGGCTGCGGCTGAGGGGGCGGCTGATGGCGGCCTCCAAGTCTGGGCAGTAGTCCTGGTGCCTGGGAGGAGGACGCGGAGATGGTCGCTGTCATCATGGTCCATTGCCGCCATTGCCGCGCCGTCATCACCGCGGTGGGCATTGCCGCGCGTCCTCGTCCTCGTTGCGTGGTCATATCGTCTGTTCAAAGTAGTGAGACGCGGACAGGCAGGCAGACAGGCAGACGTGGAGCTGCAGGCTGATCAGGCGGTGGATGGCGGCCTCCGGGTCTGAGTAGTAGTTGGCGAGCTGGGTGCAGTGGTAGTCCCTGTCACCATGGGCGCATCGCCGCCATTGCAGTCATCATCGTCATCATGGGCGTCATTGCCAAGCCCTCTTCATCCTGGTTGCGTGGTATCATGGTGGGCGGCTACGTGGCACTGGGATGGTGGCGATGGGATGGGGGTTCAGGGACTAGGGGGCTGGGACAATGGTGCTGCGACGGTGGTGGCAGTGGCGGTGGCGAGGGTGGTGGCGCTGGGACGGGGGCAGTAGGACCGGGTGGTGGCGCTGGGAGTGAAGCAGTGGCGCCTCGGGGGTGTCAGAGGAGGCGCTGTGAGGAGGTGGCAAGGCTTCGTCTGGGCGGCTGGCTGGGGTGGGTGAGCTCCGGGTTCGCCCAAGCTCTGTTGAA